TCTTGTTAATATCTACCTACATTGAAGATAAGATAAAAAGAACAGACCGAGATAGTGCCAATATTGAAAAATCATGTTTTAAGTGTTTATCCACATGCAAACCAACATTCTGCAGTTTTACCTCATTAACTTAAGAGCTCAGGGAGGCAATGTGCAGAACTAGTCCTCAGATTAACGTGCCACAAGAGGTTTGATCACACATTTCAACACTGACTGTACCCAGTCACCTTTCTTCATATGGTGATCTGTACCCATTGCAGATTTAGTGAAGTAGATTATCTATTTCTATTTCTATAGCTTGCGTTCTTCTGCAAATGGACTTCAACATTTTAATTAGGATGATTAGAGTTTAGGCATTAGTGAATACATACAATGCAACTTTTTCTTTTAAAAAAAAGAAAATCTATGCATGGGAAAGTTAAAGTTAAATCCTTTATTGTTGTCGGGATTTTAAGTTACTTTATAACCATCAGCAACACCACTGGAACTGCTGTGTCTTTGAAACTGGAGAATTCCCAAGGTTGATGTAAAACTCCCACAATAGTTGCATACATTTGAACAAATCTAAGTATTTTAATCCCAGGACAGCAAGTGAATGAGTTCTCTATACAACCACTGATTTGTTGTTCCAAGGGAACTGACTGGGAAATTTCAACCTTCTCACTGACAGTATCAACTCTGGTTCGTGCATGACTAAGCTGGATCCAGGCTCTGCATGGAGGTGCACACGGGACTTTCCACTTTCAACAGTATTGAAACTGCTGTCAAAAGTTTATCATGGAAGAGTTGGCAGGTCTCATCACGAGGGACAGAGTAAAATAAACTAGATAGAGTTTCTCCATGCAGTGGATATGGAAATGGAAAAAGGAAGCTTCTCTGATCTGGGATATTGAATTTAAAAAAAAAACCTTTAAACTGGAATATTTTTGATATTGGGGCAAAAAGAAAGATTGCTGAACTGGGCGACTCATGAAGTAAGAATGCCTCTAATTTGGGAGCTGTGACAGCAGAATATAAAACCTTCTCTCTGAAGCAGAAAGGAAGTAAAGGGAGACTTACGATCTGGCAGATTTTGGATGGTTTGCATATTCCATTATAATAATGACAAACAAAACCATGAAATGTTTGAATGCTGTTTGACCGAAAATCTACTTTCCATTTTAAAAAAAATGGAATGATAATAAAAGTGAAATATTATTGGGGGGCATCTCCTTGAAATCACTCCCCTTCACCCTGCCTCTTGACATACAACAGGCATTGAGGAGAAAGGAGAAGCATTTGTTTAATTCAAAATATTGTCCAGAACCAATGATTTAACTGAGGTGTTCAACAGTCATGGTTGCTTCATCCTACATTCAGTATTAGTGATCAATTTTTCAGAGTGTATCATATCAACTACCATGCTAAACATAAAAAAATCTGCTCAAAGTGCTTTTTTCTTTAAAAGAAAGCAAGCAGAGGGGGTTTGGAATCAGTTGCCCTGTTACACACTATTGCTGCTGTACGTCAGAAGATTGTGTACTTCTGATAATCCTATTGGTAAGACAAAAACAATTTACTGCATATCTCGCTTGTGTTGTTATTCAGAAACATTGAAAATAGGAATAGGCCATTTGACCATCTGAGCTTGCTCCGCCCTTCTATGCAAGTTGGCCAATCAACCATGATCAATGACCCATTCATGCTTTCTCCCCTTACCCTTTGATCCCTTCAACCAAACTATATCTAACTCCTTCCAAACATTCAGTCTTTTGGCCTCAACTGCTTTCTGTGGCAGAGAATGCCACAGGCCCATCACTTGAAGAAATTTCTCAGACCTAGTTCTGAACGCCCCCCAGTTATCTGTGGTACCTTTCCAGTAAGGTTGTTGATTTGTTTGCTGAGGTGGTAGGTTGATTTACAGATATTTCATCACCATACTCCGTAACATCAGTGTGCCTCTGATGAAGTGTTTTTGGTCTGTCCTGCTTGTTATTTTTGGGGTCTGGTCTGATGTGGTAGGTGGCCTCATTTCTGGTTCCACTTTGTCGTGGTTGGTACATGGGGCATATTGTCACATTTGTTGGTGGAGTTCTGGGTTGAGTACCAGGCCTCTAGGAATTCCTACATATCTTTGGTTGGCTGGTCCTAGGATGGCTATGTTGTCCCAGTCGAATTGGTGGCTTCCTTGTCCAAGTGTATGGGAATGAGTGATAGCTGGTCATGTCTCTTGGCTGCTAGTTGCTGCTCATGTACTGTGATTGCTAGTTTTCTCCTGGTCTGTCCGATAATGTTTGTGGCAGTCCTGACATGGGATTTTTATGGTCAACATCAGTCCTGTTATTTGTGGGTATGGAATACGTTGTTCTCGTCAGTAGCTATCGTCGTATATCCGTGGGTTTGTGTGCTACTAGTATTCTTCCAGTATCCTTCCGCTCTATCTTGTCTAGTTCCATTTGAATTTTATGGGTTTAAACTCAGATGAATATGTAGTCCTAACCAATCCAGTCTCTCTTCATACGTCAGTCCTGCTACCTCATGAATCACATTGCAACAAAAATTTGCCACTCACTCCATAGCCAGAACATCTCCCCTACACTAACAATGTTAAAATCTTTAGTGGCTTTAAACAATGTGATACACTTTGAAATGCTTCACTTTGTGAAGTAAAAAGGGTGCTATATAAAAACAAATGCTGTTGGTGAAGGTCCAAACATTGGCAACAGAGCCAAATTCTAGTGAGGATGAACTGAAAGTCATTGCCTTTGACATCAAGGCAGCATTTGACTGAAGTCAACCAAAGTCAATGGAAATCGTGGAGAAAAATTCTCCATTGGAGGAGTCACATTTTGTACAAAGTATGACGACTTTGGTCATTGGAGGCCTATTTTCTCTGAGCCAGGACATCGGTGACCTGAGCTCATCAAGGCAGTGTCCTAGCTGAAACGAGATGGGCCTACTTTGTCAACAGATTTGACACAAACCTCTAAGGATCTTAACAGTATTTTCCAAAGCCATAGTCTCTAACACCTCAAGAGGACAGGGCAGCAGATGTATGGGAACATCATCTGCAAGCTCCTGTCCAAATTACACACGGACTCAGTTTGAAACTATCTCCATTCCTTTGTGATCACTGGGATCAGATCCTGGAATTGCGAACATCACATATGTTACGAAGCAGAGGTCAGCCCCCCTCTGATAACTAAAACCATTAACCCAGAGAAGCTTGCCTCACCCATAACCTGTTAAAAATAAGGGTGCAAAGTGGTATAACCTGCTGCTTACCCCCTGCAATCTATTATAAAGGAGAGGTTAAACGAACGAGTCACCCAACTTCTACCTGTTAGAGTTAGATGAATAAACAGAACTACTAACAAACTGAACAATTCCCCCCTTAACTACTAACTATTCTCAAATAAAACAAAATTCTCTTGTTCTAATAAGTAGAAGTCCTACTTACATAAAACAAAATAAAAATAAATCAACACTTACTCTCTTGAAATTACAGCCAGGATACATCTTCCCAAACATTCCATGCCTTCTCCGCTGTTCTTCAGTCAGGAACACCTTTCTCTGTCAAATTCTTGTATCAGGAATATTAGCTAAGAGTGCTGCTGTGTCTTTAGTCAGATGATCGTTTTCCTGAGAGCTTAGAGAATCCTGTGACATCTAGGGATTTTTTTTAGGGCTGCTGGTTGTTACCTCTAACAGACGGTAATTGCTCTCACACTGATTTTCAAATGCCCTCTTCTTTCTAACCTTTGATGACCTATTAATTTCTCACAACAGGATTGGTCCTAGGTTGTCAAAACACATCAGATTTAAAATTTAATTGTTTTTTGGTTAAATTAATTGGCTAATTGTCAATCTGGTGCCTTAACAACAAAAGCAACTGCCTGGGCTGTTAACCACACAGCCCTTTGACATAATGTTTCAATTTCAGGAGCTCTCTGTGCACTTGCCCATTGTTAAATCTCCATGCCCAGAAAAAAAAAAGATATTTTAGAAAAGGGACCACACACTCTTTCCCCATCATTTTTACAAACAAAAAAAATCAAATTCAAACATCCTACCTTCCAATCCATAAATACTCTACCCAACTTCACAAATACATGAACCAGATGGACTTCTGTGGTTTAAAAAGGTGGCCCACCACTATCTATAAAAGGGTGAGAATGTTGGCCTCACCAGCAACGCTCATATCCCATACGTGAAACAAAACACTAGATATTTATAACAATACACACAAATACAAATTGTGGTCAATCTCCAAGAGGACCATATCCTATGATTATTTTCCTGAGATTTAATAAGCACAGATGATTATGTATTTAGCTGGGCATGCCAAAACCACAACCGCATGATCAGCTTAGCAGAAAATCATCTAAAAATTTTGCATTGGACTGATAGGGACTGTTCTCACCACTTACATCAGAGAATGTGAAAAAAAAACCAAACACGGCTAAGTAAAAAAAATGCTTTGAGCAGCAGTGGTTTCGTTATCTTCCATTAGGTATTTGAAAAGTCAAGAGAGCGTGAATCATGTATAGTCAGTCATTCTATTTACCGAGGTGGAAACCGTAAAGTTGCATGCTCCACTCAAATCACCTTAACAAACCGAAATACCTGGAAAGAAAAGGTTTGCTTTAGGTGTCAGTTGTAGCAACCAGGTAAGCTATGTGAAAGTTAGTGCGGCTTTGAGTGAAGCGTGCGGAGAGGGAACCTCCTGAAAAAGGCACACGAACCCACCGAAAACATTTCACTCCTCACTGGGTAATGCAGTAAGTTAGCCCGTTCCTTTGAATGTACACAAAATGAGTCTCGGGCACTTCAAACCAATCTCTTGAGCATTTTCCATGATAAATTATATTGCAACGTTATTGCTTTGAACGCAAAAGTTTCCATTATTCAGAATAATCAACAGAACCTGGTAGAAATAAACCCGCACGCGTATTTAAATTTCCGTCCCATGCTCATGTTTGTGTTCATTGTACGAACGAGCAGCCTTCGCCGATCATTACCTTCGTCAATTGTGCGATCTTCTTGCTCATTTTCACGTGCAGGTCGTAGTTGTAGTGTTGGAGCGGGTCTGGCAGAGTTGTTTTTGAACCATTGCATTTGGCACCGTGGCTCCCCAACTCTGTGCTGCTCCCCCCAGTTGCCATCGCTCCCAGTAGGGCGACAGCTCCTGCACCTTACAGCGGGCTCAGGCAGGAGCGTGTAGGAGGGGAGGGGGGAAAAGAGAGAGCGATAGCGGGCGGGGGTCGTTATCCAGACCGTTCTTGCAGATGGTCCACTGCCTCCTCGAGCGTAAACGGGAAGCATATGCAACACCCGAACCGATCAGTGGGTGGAAGCCGTACAGTCCAGAATAGGCACAGGCACTGTCTGTAAAGTTTTCAGGAGACCAGCTCCGTCCCTTACCACCATGTGATAAACATAAAAGGGCAACGCCCCCGAAAAGGGAGGGGATTAGATCAGTTCAATTATCTAAAGCATTACGACTGGATCTAAAATTGTTAGGCGCTTAATTTACTGAAACACAGCCAAATCATTATAGTATTAAAAGGTATTCACATTTTTAAAACTCTCCCCAATTTGTTCCTTATTTTATGCTCAAGTAATATCCATTACCTAGGAGCGAGATTCCTTCTCATGTCAATTGAAAGGAGGTGGCTATCCGAGAGAAAAGGAGGAACAGATGCCTCTGGGGGCTGGTGGTCTGCTAAATCAGCAAAGGGACGCCAAGATTTACCACGGCTAGTCTTTCAGATGAGAAGGCTGTTAAAGGGAAACTTCCCATAGCCTCCAAAATCGTGGGAGAATACATAGATGAAACAAATGTGGGGGATTGGAGTGGATAACACTTTTTCCTTGCCCCTCATTCCTGCAGCTGTCTGCTTTATTGAAAATTCCTGAACTGTTTATAGTCTAATTGTTGCGGCTCACATGCCACTAACTTGTAACTATGTATCCTTATACATCTTTCTCGGTGTTCTTTAAAATACAGTTTACATACTTTGTACGAAATCGAATGCGTGTTCCTTTCTGTAACCTGACCTTTCCTGTATTTTATACTATCCTACTGACCCTATAGTGACCTCATGATTTCCCCGAACTGCCTTCAGTCTGCCGGTGCACTAATCAGTAGGCATAAAAACGACAAAACTGTCGATATTTTGATTCCCAAATATACGGCATCGTAAACAAAAGTGATTTATAGATGAGCACTTGCAGAAGGAGTATGTGGATGCGCGAATAAACCTGACTGAAGGTTTTTCCAATACATTAAAAAACATTGTCGATTTCATTGCTTATTCTGGACAGAAATCCTGGATTGTGTGGAACATTTCCATGGTTATCTTGACACAATTTGCAGAAGTTTTAGCCAATTTACCTTTCATTTGCTATTCAATTTAGAATCTGAAGCTATTGATCGGTCAGTTTCGCTGGAAAGAGAAAATGAAATCTTATTCATTTCCCTGATCTGCGTGCAGTACATCTGAACCCGTTTCGTTTCCGCTAGCATGTAACCGACAAAATACACTTACTATGGTGGTTGGTCGTGTTTATCGACATTGACAGGGGTTTTATTTGTGCCTTGCATTGCCTTATTCGACTGCCATTGTGTCTTACAACAGCTTTAAATTAGTAAAGCGGGAAGAATAATGTAACTACAAGAAATGAATTAATGAAAACAGAGGAAAAGGAAATAAAGAGTGGTGTAAGCCATTCAGCGCCCCCCTCCCCCCCCAAGCCTGCTGTACCAATTTAGACAATGGCTGATGTCTGCCTCAACGCCATCTCCCTAACTCTTGATGCCATTAGTAACTGGAAGTCTATTCATCTTGGTCTTGAACTTAATGACTGAACTTCCACAGCCCATCAGAGGTGATGCTGTACAATCAGGAAGGAATTGTCCTGGGAGTCCTCAACATTGACTCCTGACCTCCATGCCTCACAGTATCAGGTAGAACAAGGGCAAGGAAACTTCCTAAATAGGATCTATCAGCAACCATTGAATGTGTTCTCTTCCATATTTACAGCACTTGGGAAAAGCATTGAGAACGGCAAGAGGGGAGAACATACAATTGGTCGTAACCTCAACATCAAGTGACAGAGTTCCTTGCTGACGACTATAAACCATTCTGTTTGGCTCCAGAAGGACATAGCTGCAAAACTGACTCATGTGACAAGTGGTGAGGATACCACCAAGGGAGAAAAATCTACTTCCTCATCTTTAGCAATCTACCTGTTGCAAATGTACCCAATAATGCCATTAGCAAGACTGTTCATTGTATAGTCCTTCACATTATAAGGAAGGAATGGAGGGCATTCTCATTCACAGGATGAGGGTGTCACTGGCTACACCAGTCTTTATTACCCATCCCAAATTGCCCAGAGGGTAGTTGAGTCAACCATATTGTGGGGCCTCTGGAATTATATGTAGGCCAGATCAGGTAAGGATGGCAGTTGCCTTCCCTAAAGGACATTAGGGAACCAGCTGGGTATTTCCTGACAAAAGATTCATGGTCATCTTTAGATATCAGATTTTTTTATTGAATTCAAATTCCAACCTCTGCCATTCGGGATTCGGATCCGAGTGCCCAGAACTTTGCTCCGTCTCTGGATTAACAGTCCAGTGACAATGCCATCAGGTCATCATCTCCCCACTGTGTAGCACCACAAATAGGCTAAATTGGACAGACTTTGAAACAATCTAGCAACTTACAACTATGCACTCATGAGACACTGTGGGCAATGAACAGCAGCAGGATTGTATTCAACCACAACCTGTAATGTCATGGCACTGCAAGTCCCCGATTCTACTATTACAATGAAGCCAGGAGAACAAACAAGGTGCAATGAAGTGTGCAGAAGTGCATGCCAGGAGCAGCATCAGGCAAACCTAAAAATGAGGTGTCAACCTGATACTACAACACAGGACTACTTGCATGCCAAATAGCAGAAGCCTCATGCATTAGACAGGACTAAACAATCCCATAACCAAGGGATCAAATCTAATTAAAGCAAAATATTGCTGAAAATTAGAAAGTTAGCAAGTCTGGCAGCATCTGTGGAGAGAGCGAGAATAAATATTTTGATTTTGTTATGAGTCTTTTTCGTGACTGGAGCGTTTGAAGAGACCTAAGATCTGCAGTTCTGCTATAACCAGTTGCAAACAGTGTGGTGTGGACAATTTAAGTTGCAGGCAAGAATGGAGCAGAGCAGGATAATCTGACAGAAGAGGTTGGTGGGAAAACCTGTAATTGAACAACAGGTTCCCTTCAAAGAGGAGATGGGTCAAGTATAGTCTTGGTATATTCCCTCAAAACAGAAAGATAGGGTAAACAAATCCAGTGGTCCCAATTAAAAGGGAGAAAGAAGTTAACAAAGAAAAAAGTGTGCTATGACAGGTATGGTGTCGAGAACCAACAGCAATACAGAATGTTCAAAGGGGAGGTGAAAAAATAAATAGAGAAGCAAAACAGAATTTAGGAGAATAAAACTGACAAACATAAAAGTGGTGTCCCAATGTCTTCTATAGGCACAAGGATAGCAAAAAAAAGTAGCAAAAGGAACTAGGACTGGATGAGATTCATCCAAGGATATTGAATAAAGTTGTGCTTTACGAACTTGAGGTTTTTCCTTGAAGTAGTAATGGAAAGACTCATTTAGGGTCATGCTGCTGATGTGATGTACCTAGGCTTCCAGAAAACGTGATTGTGAGACACAAAAAACTTGTACAGAAGGTTATAGGATGTGGAACAAAATTGACAGTAGTAACATAATATAAAAATTGGCTGAGTGATAGGAAACAGTAATGGTCGATGGATATTTTTCAGCTGGCAGAAGGTTTGTAGTCAAGCTTCCCAGGAATCAGTATAGGGACCATTGCTTTTCCTGATTTTATTAACTGTGGGGAGGCAATGGACTATTGGTTTATCACTAGACTATTAAAGCAGAAATTTAGCTAATGTTCTGAACAACAGTCACTGGACCTGAAATACTAGCTCTGCTTTCTCTCCATAGATGCAGTCAGACCTGTTGACTTTCTAGCAGTTAATGCTCTGGACACCTGAGTTCAAATTCTGCCACAGCAGATGGTAAAATTTTAAATTCAATAATATACGTGGAATTAAGAATCTTTTAATGACCGTGAAACCATTGTTGATTGTCAGAAAAATCCATGTGACTCACTAGTGTACTTCAGGAAAGGAAATCTGCCATCCTCTATTAGTTTGGCCTACATTTGACTCCAGAACCACAGCGATATGGTTGACTCTTATTAGCCCTCTGAAATAGCCTAACAAGCCACTCCATCATAAATCACTACAATGTCTCAAATGAGAAATGAAACTGGACAAGCCACCTGGCATTGACAAAGGCACTGAAATGATAACAGTAAGAACAGCCAGAAACTTGACTGGACTCACCATATAAATACAGTGACAGTAAAAGCAGGTTAGAAGCTAAGAATACTGATGTGACTCATGCCTGACTGCCCAGAGCTTGTCCACTATCTGCAAGGCACAAGTCAGGAATGTAATGAATACTCTTCATACCAGGGTGAGTGCACTCCAACAACAATCAAGAAGCTCAACACCATCTGGGACGAAGAGCTCAATTGATTGGCACCACATCCATAAGCATCCACTCCATCCACCATTGACACTCAGTAGCAGCAGTGCTTAGTATCCACAAGACACACTGCAGAAATTGATCACCTACCAAACCGATAACCACTTCCATTCAGAAGAACAAGGGCAGCAGATACCTGGGAACACCCACCACCTGCGAGTTCCACTCCAAGCATAGAAATCAGTAGCCCACCTGCCAATTTTTAATAAGTTAGGTTTGTTAACAAGCCAATTTGCAGAGGTACTATGCTGTCCATGCCATAATTCAATTGGTGTGGACAGGCCAGCTAGAGAGGAAAGGCTGTTTGAACAACTTCGATGGGTGGGAGAAGGGGCAGTGTCATATCAATCAGGTCAGTGGGCCCCATGCACATTTTAAGATGTTCCACCACACTGGGTGCTTCCTCAACTGGTCTCCAAATCTCACAACTATCGAACTTCCTCACACCCTAAGGCTCCCCCATCTGAAACCCCACTCTTACCTCTCTCTGATGCCCAATGCCCTCTTCGTTCTGGGGATTCCTGGTAACCCCAGCAGTGTACACTGCTCATTTCTGACACTGCTAGGGCAACCGGAGCTGCCAGCTAATCACATTGAGAGGTGAAGGACCCCTCTCTGCTTGTGTGGATTGCCAGCTGCATGTTATTGTTGAGCAGTAGCCTTTTCTTATAGTCATTCAAAATTGACATTTTAACCAGGTTGGGGAGGATGGAGCAATTTTCTTGCATAACGTTCAGCTGAATATTTCCTTAAGTAGACC